CATACCAAACTATTCAATGGACAACATTTATCCCACATATAGGGTGACTCTGGTACTTCGACTTTAATCTGACTCATTTAAACGTATAGCTGATTCAGGTTTCTAGCCTCTCATCATAGTTCCGATCCTCTGTCGACGTGTTTTCACCCGATGGGCTTTTCCCGTTTAATGCACCTCCCTTGTCTTGACATGTAGATTTACCACAAAATAATGGCCAATGTCTACGTATTCGATAGTTGGTATTTATTTGTTTAAGTGCCTTCCCCGTGAGATGAGACTCGGCTCGAGGGGCACTACAGGTATATTTTCTCACGTTCTGAGTCTCCTCCGAGTCTCTCGCCGGGACCACTGTATCCCTTGACCACATCCCTCGACTCAGATGCACAGGCCTAGTGACCATCAGTGTATCAGGCTTCCTTTACTACTGGTGAAATAGACCGTCAGTTAACTGCAATCTGAGTAGATGTTCCATTTTCATTTGCCAACCTGTTATTGATTAATTGTGATACTTCTGATATAAACTGTAGACAAGATCCTGATGGCTTCTACTTTGCATCATGACCTCAAGATGTTTTGACACTCTCCAGGCTCAACCACCAACATTAACGGTCTTTCTGGTGCCAAGTATCGTACGTGGATATGCTTCACAGGATTCTTAATCTCAACCTGCTCTTTTGTGAAGATCAGCTATTTCATCTATGGTACACCACACGCCCACGCCAACTACTGGATGGAACCTCACTGTCTTTATTCCAGGAACATATGCAGTACTATTCAGCCTATCTGTCAAATTTATCGTACGGCAGAAACGGCCTGGGTTTCATGCACATTTGATGTTTATCATCGTTCTCTTTGCTTTGGCGACAATCGGTATCGCCTTCAACACCCTGAACACGGTCAGCAAAGCAAATGCTGCATTCCACCTGTCATTAAATGTCGCTACTCTGTAAGGTTCATATCCTAAATCCTCGTTGGCATATTTAACAGGCATACTAGAAACTCATCTTATATGGGGTCAATAGTAACACTTATTACTGCAAAGTAATTTGTTGCGATGGTCCTGGTCTAACAAAATCTAACTGTAATCTTTCCCAGTGTTGTAGCAGACATGCTCCTGGTAGTATTTCACTGTCTTTGCTTACCCTTTAGACTGAACGAATGCCAGTTATGGCGGTGCTACATAATATGGGCATGCCGCGTAAAGGTTATTGTTGCCCCCGTGGTTTTATGCGTTGCAAGTAACGGTGAGTCTCATACTGCTACTATCAGTGGCTACATATCAAAGGCTATTAGTATTAATCTAATGCGCAAACTCAGTGGCAGCAATAGTCGTCACCGTTCTGAGCTATAAACTTCAAGGTAATGGAGGGGATGAGTTTCTTGATGTTGTTGCACATTCAAGCCCGCCTAACTTGATCGTCGTATTTCTCTATGGTGCTCTGTCTTCAAATCTTGTCCTGACGACAATGATAGGTCAGTTCTCAGTTCTCCGCTCTCGATTTCATCTCGTACGCTGAACGAAAATAAAGCGGGAAGGATTTACTATATAATACGCCAGAACCTTGCTCTCCTCGGCCCTGGTGTTCAGCGGATGTACAAAACTGTGATTGCTATCTGGTGCGTTATATCTTTCCTTCCATCTCACGTATCTAATACCACGAAAGCCTCGAGTCTGGGATTCTGTATCCAGCTGCGTTAGCAATCTACGCGATCTTGAGATCACGTCAATTGGACAGAAATGACCTGTCAGTGGCAGTAGTGATCCCTGCGAAGATAGCTTACTTCTCCTTGATTCAAATGGTGGTACGTTTTGAAATGTTCATCAAAGATTTTGTCCCTTTTAATCACATCAAAACAGGGAATTGCCCCAACATTGATTATAACACGCATAGGCCTACAATGCAGTATAGATGATGATCGTTTGACGCAAGCCTCAAAATCTTTTCCCAGAAACCTCTCCAACACAAAACCCGAACTGCCCACTTGACATAGTCCACCCAAATCCCTATTTATCTTTGTATGAAAGATGTGCGTTACGCGGGAGTTTTAATCCATATGAAGCAGTCATTCAGGCTCCCGGCCATGATACGACTTCCTGTGCCGCTTTTTACGGCAGAAATGTAGAAAATCACCCAGAGGCGGCAAAGTCAGCTGAGATTGAGCCGGATCTGGGAGCTGTAGCGTTAATCTCACGTAGCAGCTGAGGCTGTCACGGTTATCAGCGACGGTTGAACATGCATGTGGTTTGAGTATTTATTAGTCTCGAGAATCCAGACTGACGATACTACCTGACGATCGCAAGCGATGTGGTAGTATGTTATTTATAGTATCTCAGTTGAGAAGATATCATACAAAAGCCTCCAATCTATTGTTCTATTGATAGGCTAGCCTACTAGGTGAGAAACGACACTTGATTTTACATGGGTGTCCTACTGTGCCGCCTTCACGGCCTTGGCCAAATCTGCGTGCACTGCACAGTATGACGGCATGACTCTACACTGTTCAGTTCTCGCGCTTTCAATCTAGCTCCGAGTCTCTTTCCGTGATGACGATGCCACCAAACTTGCAAGTTTCGGCTGCCCAATCGCTTCTGCAACCTTAGCTACAGTGCTTTTTTAGCACTAGCGACTCGGATCATGGTTCTCATCATTGTTTACAATATGATATTCACATCTGTTAACTAGTGGCGGAACAAAGTTTCGGTACGTCTCTGTAGTGGGGCGGCGGGCCATCAGCAAACGGACAAAATCTTGCCGCTTTTACGGCTTTTACGTCGCCTTCACGGCAAACTCTTCGAGTTCTGTACATTACCACTCAGCGCGAAACTCGTATGTATATAACACATGCTTTGTACAGTACCTTGAATATATTCTTGGTTACCTTGAGCATAATCTTCCACAGGATGCGTCTACCAACTACATATCACTAGGTAGCGTAGTCCTTGGTGATGATTATGTACCCGATTCACAATCACCGCTTCAGTTTCCACTCCTCGCCTCCAGAAATCCATCTGATGCTGATTTGATTGCCCCAGGATATGTCCTGTGTTTCGAACCAAGAAGATACGATCACTAGGAAGTTGTTCTATGATAATACGCGCATATCGCATGTAGTAAGTACTTTCCATTTTCGCCCCAGGTGTGACCGAGTTAATGAGACCGTCAAATAAGATTTAATCCAGTAAGTCATTCCTGATACAACGTGGGCTGCACATGTAGACACCATGAACACCATCCCGGTGGTGCACTTCCATTCTTCAAGCGTCCATGCTCCTTCTATACGCTCTCGCGAGGCCCATTGCTTCGAATATCCCATCCGCTTCTTCAGACGATTCCACACCTTCTGGACCGGTTGGCGAATGCACTGACATTATAGGATGTAGGACCGTTACCGATATCATTTGGGGCTGTCTTTCCGTCATATTTATATGCACCTGGGTCGCTATTCATCCACATATTCCACTTGTCGGTACGAATCGGATGACCATATTCTACCACAACTTGATACTCATGGTCATTGCCGTCCTCGCACCTGAATTCATGATTTTATGGGCTATGAGGCAGCGGAAGTCTGCGCGAGCAATTGGGGATAGGTTTAAACGTGAGTTTTGGACTTTGATAATTGTCTAAATAGTGCTAAAATATTCATCCAAGAATACGGATGGGGAGCGACTCATGGATACTTCGTAATAATGGGAGGCTTCGCTCTGTACGACGGCAATGAGTTTCGTGGATATTTATGGGAAACCGATAGAAGCAACGGAAAGAAGAGCCGACCGTATGACGGGTATGCAGAAAGGGATTGGGAAAACATCAAGACTTACCATGAAAAGCATCGGAACTGTCTCGAGGGTGACGCAGTAGGTCTTCTGACTTGATGTGGCAACCTGTGTCATGTTTCTGAATGGTTGTTATCAAATGCAGAGGCATAAAGATAACACGGCTTCCCAGACATCCTCCACAAGCCTACTCGAGTTTCTCGTTGCCAAAGAATATATTACCATCACTGAGGACGAAATCAAGGATCGAAGCCACGGGGATTTCATTTCCAAGTCCATCGCAGTCATACAGACTACCTGGTTTATACTTCACGTCATTGCTCGTGCCGTCAAAGGGTTCGCCATGACGGAGCTGGAGATCATCACGGTTGGGTTTGCCATTCTCAATTTCATCACCTACGCTTTGTGGTGGAACAAGCCACTTCGTGTTGGACAACCATTACGAGTTCATTGGCGAAAAGGAGGGATAACAAAGGATAAAACACTCAGCCCAGCAGCCACACATCCGAGAAATTAAGCTTTGCGGGTCGTCAAGCACATCATCAACCCGTTATGGCAAATCACCCTTAATATCTACTTTGACACAGACCAAAAGGACCTAAAAATCCTCATCTCCTCCAGATTCGATGACGATCTCGTCTATCTTTATGTTGCTGTGTACATGATTGCAGCTGTATTCGGTGCCATCCACTGTATCCCGTGGAGCTTCCGATTTCCGACGCATACAGAGCAAAAGCTTTGGCGTATCTCGGCAGTTGCGGTCGCGGCTTCCCCCATTGCGATGTTGATTATGCATAGTTTCTACAGGAAGAGGCAGGACCTGTTTCAAAGACGCTTGATATGGATTATCATAGCTGTCCTTGCTGTTGCATACATCGTCTTCAGAGTTACTCTCATCGTTCTTGCATTCAAGGCGTTACGAGATCTTCCCAGAAGCGCATATAGAAATGTGCAATGGACTTCGTTCATCCCACATATTGATTAATCTGGGTATGTCCAGGAATTCAAGTTGTGGCGTCGTTTCACTAATCTGTTCGCCGCATATTTGTAGATTCCTAGTATGAAAGTGCTATGATTCGGACGACATCATACCTGTACCGTTTCGTTTTTGTTTATTCAATTATCTTTGACGATAAGTGCATTCGTGCGATAGTTTAGTAACTTGCCTGCTTGACGTCTACTAGATCGCACGAGCTATGTAGGGCAATCAATCTAGCTATCAGGGGGTATAGCTCAGCTGGGAGAGCAGCAGACTGAAGTCAATCCTTCTGAAGGTCCCGCGTTCGATCCGCGGTACCCCCATGTATTGAAGATAGTCGACATTTTTGACTCATACACCGTTACTTTTCTTGATCATGAACCAAGAGATTTATGTATAGGATATGTCCATGAGGATCTTGGATCTTTGTTCCAAACGCATTTCGTTTAAGCTGTTTGTGATATTCGGTTGCTTCCTTGATGATGGCAACTGATAAACGTTCTGTCAAATATTATAGATGGTTACCGAATTCTTGGCTCTCATTCTCTGGAGCATCATATCCACATCTCTGACATCTCTAATGCATTCCCGGAACTCTTACTAGCATTGTCAGCCAGTCACAATTTCAGCGCCTGAGCGTTGTGGAGCATCAGCCGGAGTGGACGGAAGGGAGAAGAAAAAGGAAAGCGGAATTGCCAAGAACGACTAAAACTGCCGCTTGCTTTGCCGACGTTTCTGATTGATACCAAACACGACGCCAAACAACCTCTCCTGAGCGTGAGACGTTTTGCGAGCTCTTGTTCGTTGTTCCCCATCTCTCTTCCCCGTCACCGTCCCTTCCCCGTCTTGGGCAACGACCTCGACATTTCCCTTTCCCCGTCCCCCTTCATTCATTCCTCTCTACATTCCTTACTCTCAGAACAAGTACATTCTTTTCAAAAAAATCCACGAAGAAGAACAAGAAGAAATGGCTATTCAACGTATTCACCTCACCCATTTGGGCCATAAACGTTCTCTTCACACCCCAGAGAAGAGAGCAGCCTGTGGTTCGGCTGGTTTCTATACGGCTCCAAAGGCCTCGTCGGTGCAGAGTGCCAACGATCCGATGCTTATCACTTGGGACGTGAATTGCATGGATCCGGCTCCTTCAAGCGGAAAGTTGGATTTCTACCTTTACACTCCCACAATCAAGACAGTTAGTATCGTCTTTCCACTCTTTATGTTTATTACTGATGTCTCGTTATAGTCCACGAACCCCCGCGCTCACATCTGGAAAAATGTTCCCTTCAGTGACGGCTCCTTCTCCGCACAACTCAATCCAGAATGGTGGAACTACACCTCCCCGGTAACCCTTCAACTCAAAGCCATTGATGCCGGCAACAAGGATATATGGATGTCTTCTCTCCCTGCTGCACCTCTTTTCAACGTCACCTACAGCAAAGAGACCCCTCTGACCTCCGATGCCATCTCCGCCAGCACCAAGAACGACTTTGATGCCAAACCTGAACCAGAGTCTTCCCATCGCGGAAAGATTGCCGCAGCCGTCCTCATTCCTCTGCTTTTCATCGGAGCCTGTGTATTGGCATACATGAAATGGCAGAGAAAGAAGACCTCCGAACGCAGGAAATCTTTCGCCGACCACGTCGACAAGCGTATGTCGACCATCTCCACCGACTGGAGATCCATGTCCGCCGCTGGTGCTCAAGCTGCTATTCGCGCTTCCATGGCTGGCGATCCCCGTGCCTCTGGATTCTCATTTGGCCACGGCGCTGGAGGTATTCGCCCCATGTCTACTGCTAGCAGCATGCAGAACCAAGCCGGGTTCGGTGCTGGTGGTGGATATGCCGTACAGCCTGAGATGGCGCAGACGACAAGGACTGTTGGTGTTGGATTGCGTTCGTCGGCCTATTCGAATGCACAGGCTGCAGAGAGAGTTTCTAGGATCTCCTTTGCAGAGTCTGCACACCCCAGGCCTAGGCCTTCCGGTGAATCGAGGAGATCGGCGTATGAGAGAAGATCGGTTGCTGGACAGTCTAGGGCGTTCCATAATGGCTTTGTACCTCCACTCCCCAACCATGGTCATTCGTAAGTGCAATTTGATCCCTTGAGATGGATGTTGATGAGCTTTTGGCAGCGCTTCGATTGGTACTTCGCATCTGAACGTCTCTACGACGACCTTGGACACTACTCTTGCTCAGGAGGCTGATGATGCCATGTCGCCCAAGCAGAAGGCTGGTGCTTTCAGCCTCTCTACTGAGGATATCAGGATGCGTGTCGGTGGTATGGAGCGCGATGAGGATGTTGGTCCTGCGCTTTCGAGTGAGTACCTTTTTGTTCATGGCTCCTTCGCGTTTTCTTCTTCGTTTTCTATCCATCTGTCGTCTCTGTTCCTTGGGATTTCTTTCTTCTTTATGTCTTCTACGAGCTTCTTGCTCTCAAGGTCTTGCCAAAGGACAAAACCATTCCCGTCGACCCGGCAACTTCGTTTCGCCGGTGGCGCCCACCATGATTCACCTTCCATTAGTGGCGTCACTGACACAATTACGGACTATACGGCGTTGTTTACCCCCGCGAGCTGTGGCTCGTCGGTGATGTGGGTGATTATGCCGTTCCCACATGGGTTCTACCGCCCGAAGGGTGATTGGGATCCTCTCACAAAGCCGACGTTCAAAGTCGTCGTTTGTGTTATCCCCTAAAGTTCTGTGATCATCACTGTTAGCCACCATCTGGTCGCTCTTTCTACTCTTGGTGCCCATCACGGCCGGAGAATGCATCCGTCATGGTCACCATCTTCAAGCAACCTTTTACGGAGATAATCCTTTTTAACACCCATCTTTTATCGTAACTCCTTCTGCCCTCGATCTTGCGCTAACCCATTCCTCTTTAGTGATGCGCTCTCAAGCCACCGAATATCCCACCGCCGAAGAAGAAGCACAATACGCTAACATGCCAACCCTTCCTACCCCAGTCCACACCAAGACCTTCGAATCTGACGATCCCACTCTCTTCACCGCCTCGCCTATCACGCCTTCCTTCCCTAATGGCAACCCATTCACGCCTACTAGTGGGACTATTGGCAACATCCCATACACGCCTATGAGCCCAGATGACATGCTGAGGGCATACGCAGAAAGGCAAAAGGCCCAGGCTGGTGGTAACAACAACAACGGCGGCGTGCAGAGAGTCATGTCGCCTCCCGTGGGTAGACCCCTTGCCGGTGGTGCGATGAGCCCAAGCAGGGGTGCCTATGGTGTTGAGCCTACCGCGTAGATACGATAGCATGTTGTAGTCGGTGTTGGTCGCTTCCAGCGAGGCGACCGTTAGTTGGTGGTGTTGAGCCTCCACCTTTGATGTAGTCGGGTGCTGGCTCGTCCGCTCGTTTTATTCCGTTCCGTATGATACGACTCTTGGGTTTCGATTCCTTGTTTCTTGTACATGTCTCGCTGTACTCTCTACCTCTCTGCCCCTCTGCCTCTTTAACTATCTCTACCTCTATCTCCTCTACCTCCGCGCTTTCAGCTACCTTGCCTTCGATAGGTACTCCTCGTTACCGATTCAGTATATACCTTATGGCGCTATCGTCGTCTTACCTTTCGCGATGTACCCGTTATTAATGAACGTACATACCCTTTTTCATACATTAAGTTTTATTTATGGGCTGTGTGGGGCGTACCTACGAATACTTACCTGTTTACCCAGGTGTATCCTCGTGTTCAGAGTGTGATCGCCGGGTGTATAGTCACCGAGATGAGTGGAATGTTGAGATCTTTTGTATGTATCTGAGTGGTGTATGGTGGTAATATTTTAATTAATGTGAGTAGAGTTACACAGGGCGGCGGAACATTGATACAATGATACATAAGGTACAACTCGAGGGCAAGGTGCCGCGTATACAGGTTACTATTCTGAAGTACTATACTTTGTCAGGAAGAGAATCATATCATTTCGTATCAACCTATGTGAGGTATGAAAGTGGTCCAATGTGTAGTCTGCAAAGCGCTTTGAGGAAGGTCTCGCAAGGCCAGCAAGGCAAGACCAAGGAGAGTCCATCTCGCAGCAGCATATAATCCGAACATAACAGGAGCGCTAAGCCACACTGCTGTTTTGAGCGGTCCAGTCTGTCGGGCTAGCACTTTCCCATATACATGAACAAAGGCTGTCGCAATCGGCGCGACAAGGACGATGAGAGCAGCGATACGCCAACACCACTGCTCAATGTGGGTAGGGAATTCGAAGAACCAAGGGATACAGTGCACAGCGCCGAATGCAAATGCAATGAGATAGACGGGCAGGTAAAGACGAAGTGGTGCTTTCTCGTGCTCGCCTGCTGAAGAAAATAAAACCTTTGAGATGTCCAAATTCCAAATATCAGCAACATCCTCGTCGAGCATGGTGGCACATATCCCAAAAATTCGCCACCCCATATATAGTGGAAGCATGAGCAACATTGATATCCACTGGGGCCAATTCCAACCTTTGGTGTCTTTGTTCCATATATGCTTGAGAAGGGCAAGAACTCCCTCTCGAATCCATTCGCACAAACTTTGCTTATTTCCGGACGAAGGGTCCGCCGATTCCTTCCTCAGGAAGATGCGAACAGGGTACTGGACACGAAGCGGTTTGCTCCACCAAAGGAAAAACGTCCCAAAGTTGAGGAGTGCAAACCCCAAAGCAAGAACCTCGAGTTCGCTCAGTGCAAGGCCTTCTGCTACGCGAGCAAAAACCTGCACCACAAACCAAGTGGTCTGCAACAAGGCGATGAGTTTGGCGAAGAGGTCGGCGTGACTTCTGTCCCTGACTTCGGATTCCGACAATATGAGATTCCCTTGCGAAATAAGTTCGTCGAGAGAACATTTCTGAGAATCCTGGACAATCAACTTGCGTTAATAACTCCCCGGCCCAAGGATGGTGAAAGGGCATACCTGGCTGCCACGGTTATGTTTCACAAATTGTATTTCATCGTTATCATGATCATTCGGGGTTGAATCTATCTGTTTTCATCGAATGAGTGTCAGCATGCCATATAGAAGCGTTAACAGCAAACCTGAATCTCGCGATATTGGCCGTCTTCATACACAACCAATCCTCGCATCAGAATAAAGAATGCATGAGATTTCCCCCAATGAAGCTCTGATCCAGACTGAACAATCAACTCTGGTGTGCAACGAATTGGGACTCACGTTTAAGAGGATTCCGCTTGATCATATTCGTTGCATACGACCACTGCCTCATGGCCCAAAGGATAACAAGTTCGGGCGACAGGAGCGCTGCGAACATGAGCTCGAGGTTATGATAGAGCATGACCAAGGGATGGGTTTCAATT